CAGCTGTGTGTGCCAACCAGGGCGAGTGCGCGGCCCTCGTGCTCGGGCAGGGCGCGTCGCCCAACGCCACCAGCTCGTTCGGCGTCACCGCCCTGCAGAGCGCGGTGCAGCAGCGCGGCGCGGGCATCGCCCACCGGTTGCTCGCCGCGTGCGCCGATGTGCTGGCCCTCGACTCCAACCGGCAGACGGCGCTACACCACGCCGCACGCGCAGGAGCGGACAACGGATGCTTGGCGGCCTTGCTCGACCGTTGGGAGTCGGTGGCCGGCGACGACGACGGCTCGGCGTGTGCCTCGAGGGACGTGTGGGGGCGGACGCCATTGCATTGGGCGGTCATCAACGGCCACCGCGAGGCGATCGTCACGCTCGTCGAGGCTGGGAGCGACATTGCGCTGCGCGACAAGCAGCACGAGTCGGCGCTCGACCTCGCCGAGCGGAGGGCGACCTGCCACGCGGTGGGCTTCGGAGGCCGGTGCGACAAGCTGACGGTCAGCTTGCTCAAGCTGATGTTGCCGCGCGACCACGCCGACTACAGCTCCTTCCACCCGGAGGGCCTGATGGACCTCTGTACGCACGAGGTGCTCCGGCACGCCGAGAGGCTGAAGCTCGGCGCCGAGGAGCGCGAAGCCTTCCTCGCGCTGAGCCCCGCGGAGCGCGCGGCGATCGGGGACCATGTGATGACAATTGACGAGCTAAATGCGCGGGATGAGGGTCGCCTCTAGGGTCGCGTTCGCGGGGAATAGTACTCAGTACTGACATGATCTAGTGTCCCCGCCCTCTAGTCATGTTCGATCGATCGATCAGCGGCTTCCACCGTCAAGCTGCGCCGAAATGCACGGATTAGGGATTTGGCGGACATTCTTGCTTCAATTTTACGGATGTCCTTGGCACCAGTTGAAGGCTTGCCCCCCGTCCACTGCTTAGATCGCGTCGCATTTTTTTGTGCACGGTATTCGGGTTTTATTTTGGGCCCTGTGGGCACCCTATCGTGGGGGTATATTATCGCAGATTTTGTCAATGGTACCGCGTCTGCGACGCGGGCGCCTTGCGAGCAGAGCCCTTAGGCCATCCTTATATCTTGCGCTTGAAGAAAAAGCAAAAAACGGCTTCTTGAATGCTCGGCCCCAGTCGGGGGGATGCCCGCCCGCCGCCTAGCTCCCACCGCGGACCCGCGGACGGGCCCCTCCACCCTTCATGTACGGATGATCATATAGTCCCCACAATCGCTGTCGTGGGATCGCTTGTCATGCGAGAGATGCGTTGCGTTCTTGTTCG